TTAAAACAGAGGCAGAAAGCACTCATAGTTGGAAAGACTTTCTTTAGTTCGACCACAAGTACTTTCTTGATCATTTTTCAAAGAAGCACTCCCTCAGTAGCTCACTCCTGTAGACATGCCTTTGTGACTCACTACTAGAAATTTAGTCCATCTCCAAATTCTGTGAGCCATTTATATCTGCACAGATTCTTAAACAGCAGCTAGTACATTTTCTTTGTCATAACTAGACTTGACTACACTACCACTTAACAATCTATATAAGAAAATGGCTGGGTCTCTTTATTTCTAGAGAAAATGAACCAAGAGACTCTAGACTTAGAAGCAAGCAGATAGAGGATTCATGTTAACAAAAAAAAGTAGGAATTATATGACCATTTAGATACTGAATTGTGAGGCCTCCAACCCTTAGTGTCCTAAAGGATGTGCCTCCAGGTAGGACATGAGAAAATTTAAAAATAAAAGACTTACAGATACCAGTATTTGGGACACTGCACAAAGCTTTTAGGTTCTGAACTAACCAGTACAGTCTAGTACTCAAAAAAGCATAAAAATCTGCATTACCTTAAATTTTTTTTAAAATTTTTGTAATTTCTCTAAATAAGGGGAAAGATAAAGTTAGAATAGGATACTACTATAAGATTTGTCTATGTGTCTGTCTGTTCCTCCCTTCCTTTCCTTCTTTCTTCCTTTTTCTGAGACAGGGCTTCTCTGTGTAGTCCTGGCTGTCTTGGAACGTTCTGTAGACCAGGCTGGCCTCAAACTCACAGAGATCTGCCTGCCTCTGCCTCCCAAGGCAGGGATTAAAGATGTGTGCCACTACCACCTGGCAAGATTTGTATTTCTATTGACTTTCTTAAAAGAAGTGCATGTATGGCTTTGGAGAAAACTAAAAATGCGTGTTAAAACACAAAGAAGTTGGGCTGAGGAATGGCTCACTTTCTTAAAAAAAGTGCATGTATGGCTTTGGAGAAACTAAAAATGCATGTTAAAACACAAAGAAGTCGGGCTGAGGAGGCAGCTCAGTTGGTAAAGTGCCTGCCTTGCAGGCGGGAGGACCCAGGTTTAATTCCCAACACTCAGATGGGAACAGGAGGAGCCCTTTAGCTCAATGGCCAGTTTAGTTTAAGTTTAGCCTTACTGGTGAGTTCCAGAGCAACGAGAGAGGCTCTGTCTTAAAGGAAGTGGACGGCATGCCTAAGAATGATGCCGTCTCTGTCCTCACACTCACATGCACACACACACATACACACATACTGAAATAAAAAATAAACCATATACAAGAAAAACAACAGCTCCATTAGATCAAGAGACACAACACCACAAGTTCTTATTCTTGTCTATACGAACTGTCACAGAATCCTGGTAAATCTGTCCGTTCTATACTCCAAAAGCCTGTTAGCTTTTCATAAAGTAATAGTTATGAAAGTATTTGAAGATTAGGTTGTCACCACTAAATTCCAATCCAAACTTTTAGTAAATATGGAGAGAACGTCAACTACCTAGTTGGCATGAATAAAAAGTACGAAGTGATCAAGAGCCAAGCCATCTTCACTCCCTGTGGTTCTCTAAGAGCAGCTGCTATCGACTCATCTGTGCTTGTCCACACCTCTAGAGTGCCATCAACTGTGAGGAGCTTGAGATTCAGACCTACTTTAAACCTGAACTGTGACGGGGCGGGAGCGGAGAGGAAGGGATGAGAACATAAAGAAGCAGAGAGCTGGGGTCAGGAGGACTGTATGAGCTGATGGCACACCCACGTTAGTTAAGCAGCAGAGCCTCTTATACACTGTTTGCAGGGGAAACGGGACAAAGCCAGCAGAAAGCTATCACACGATGGGAAGACATCAGCAGGACACTTACCAAGCAGCGCTGCACCAGGGAACACAGGGTATCTCACGCATGTCACAGACCAAGCACAAAGTAGCCTTGGGATTGATAACCACAGACCTTCACAGGGAAGAGTCTCTGTTCTCTGGAACGGAAACCTTGATTCCTTGAGGCCCTGGCCCTTGCCCCAGCCCTCACTAAGTGTGCCCGTGGAGGAGGACACAGAAACTAATGCTCCTTTTGTCCTTTCAGCAGGGGCTTTGGAAACGTTTTGAATTGGCCTGGCCCCTAACAGTCCAGGGAAAGTTGAGAAAAGGAGTCATGCAAAAAGCATTTTATAAAACAAGAAGAAACAAACAGTGAGTGGGAACTAAAGAAAAATCAGAACCAGGAGAAGAACAAAGAAGCTATTTCCAAGAATGGTGGTTTATGGGATCAACACAGCAGCGTTTCACTATGGTGGTATTAAACACCTGTCCCCACTCTACCCTACAAATACAAACAACAGAATAATCAATACGTCCTCAATGAAACTTTAACTCCAGAATACAAGGAAAGAACAGAAAGTGGGTCAGTCAAGGTAGAGAAGCAGCCCAGAGATCAAGACTTGTCTCTTCTCTTGGATGAGATAGATAGGGAAGAGAGTCCTGCAAAACGTAGACATGATCTGCAACTCTGCAATCCAGGTGTGCTGACTTGGTGGGAAGAGCCTAGTGGACTTCACTTGGCAAGGAAGGCACAACCAAGGAAGCAGATGCAAATAAACCTTATTCTACTACCACAGACTATTGGCACAGGCGGGTGGGAGGGACTCTGAACACTGAAGGAAGCATGAAAATGATAATCCCTTCAGCTTGGGACAATGGACAACCCAACTTTGAACCCAATGGCATGGTCAATGTGAGGCACAAAGGTTTCCTATTAGCTCAAACTATTTTTTTTTGTAATGGATGCAGGGAAAATACCTCCATTTAAGGATGAACAATGATAATCAAAAAGGGGCAGCTATCAAATCTATATAATAACAGTATAAAAAGCAAAACCATGACTCTTTGGGCTGGGGGAGTTGTTTGGTGCTCTGTGCTCAGAATGCGTAAGGGGGGTTGATTCCCAGCACTGGAAACAAAACAAACGACAAAGGGAGGAAGGACGCACGCAAGCACGCAAGCACACGTCAAAAGGAAACCCTGATCGGAGCTGGCACCGCTCCTAAAGCTTCAAGAAAATACAACAGAGCAGGCCCACCTGTAAACCCCGGATTTACCTGTGTGGACAAACAGATCAAGTGATTGTGAGCAGAAACAACTAACTTCTTTTCCAACAATATTTAAAAGTGGGAAATTACACAGTTCATCATGGTTTTCTCTAAATAAGACAGTTAGTTAAATCTAAAATACATATGGCAAAATCAACAATATTTAAAAGTGGGAAATTACACAGAATTGCCTGGAAATTGTGGAAACTACCCACAATAAGTCTTTGGGAAAGAAAGTATGGCTTAAGAATTTTAGATACAGCCAATCTTGTGAAATGTACTAATTTAGAAGGGTATTTTCTTTATATTTTGAATTCTTTAATGTGCATTAGAGTACCACCTGCATGCAGGTACTAGAAAAGGGTTTCAGAACTCCTGGGGCTGGAGTTACAGCGGTTATGAGTTGCCTACTGCAGGTGCTGGGACCCAAACCTGGGTCCTCTGCAAGAGAGCAACTGCAATTAACTGCTGACTCATTTTTCTAGTACCCAAAGGTCTTTTCTTACATGCAAAATAAATTATGCGCTGGAGATACAGCTCAATTGGTGAAGTATTTGCCCAGCATGCACAAAGTCCTGGGTTTGATCTCTACATAAACACAGCACTTGAGAGGTAGAGGCAGAGGGATCAGAACTTCAAGGGATTTCAAGGACAGCATGGGGTTTTCTAGAGATCCAGCCTCAAAACAAAGAAACCAAAAAAACCCATTCAAGCAAACACAAAAAAATCCATTAAATTCTAAGGTCCATGTAAGTAGACTTTGTTTTGTGCACTGTTACATGCCTATGCTCTTAACTAGTGGGCCATTTCCCTCACCCACCTTTTCAATTCTTTGTTTGTTTGTTTGAGACACGGTTTCTCTGTGTAGCCCTGGCTGTCCTGAAGCTGTAAACTAGGCTGGCTTCCGCCTGCCCCTGCCTCCCAAATGCTGAGATTAAAGGCATGTGCCACCATTGCCAAGCATCCCTTTTTAATTCTTGTTTTTTTTTTTCTTGTCTAATACTTGGAGAAACTTAACAAACAATATACAATATACAAGAACACAAAAGAGGATTTAGAAAGTTCCGTTTCTCAAAGTAGATAGAAACAAAACAAAATAAGAACTTGACAAACTGCTAAAGTTAATTCATATATCCAGCATAGTCCTAAGAAAAATTCATCATGGTTTTCTCTAAATAAGACAGTTAGTTAAATCTAAAATACATATGGCAAAATCAACTAGAGAGCTCTGAAAAGAAAGAGGTGAATGCAACTGCAGAAAGGGAGGAGAAACGGATACTTTTTAATGTATCTTTTGGATGGTTTGCAGTTTTTAAACAAGTAGGCATATGCTCTATTTTCAAAATATTAAAGGGAGGATATGAATAAGTAGAAGAGGACACCACAGGATTCCTAAACCAGGAACTTAAGCTTCTCAACCACAGACTGTGAGGTCGGAAGTACAACTGGAAGTACGGCTTACTATAAAACAAGGCTGAAGCTTTTCCGAGTGCAGGGAAGCCAAAATCTAAAGGACACCAAGTATAAAACAAAGCTGATTTTCAATCCCACACTCCACAAAATGCTGACTATGTAAGGAAATAAACTACCAACATGAGGGAGGGAGGGAGGATCATATAAAGGTACAATAATCATAAAGGTAAGTGTAAACACACCGGAAGGTGGGCATCCTGAAATCACATGGGGTTACTGCCCCTCTAAAAATTTTTTTAAAAAGAACGTAACTCCAATAGGACAGTTATTCCTAGAACAGAATGTCACATACTCTAACAAATGATATGTCACACACAGCATTTGTCATTTAGAAGACTAGGGCCTTTAACACAGACTTGGGAAATGTGAAATGGAAGCCACCCCTCACTGAACAAACTAACTGTCACATGGCTTTCTCACTCAGAGCTACTTCTCACTCATTCACCTGGAGAGTGTCTCCAAAACATTTCTTCCTCCAGCACCCATGGCTCCTCTTCTTGCTCCAACTTCAAGATCACATCTGGCTTGTTGACTTGACAACCTGTTACAGGAAACAGGAAAGAACTTGCATGTTAATGCTAGAGACGATCTGGGGCCGAGTCCTGGGGTCCTGAGGACTTAGAAAGAGGAGACTCAAGGGACTTGTACAATGACAGAAGTCCTTAGGTTGGAGCACATGCCATCCTGAGGAAACTGCAGTCTCCACACACTGCAGGACCCAGGAATCCTATGGTAATAGAAAGCTCCCCTTACCGACTGTTACTAGGTTGCTGTAGGTCTCCAGCATCACATCTCGATACAAACTCCTCTGGGCAGGCTTCATTTGCTGCCATTCCTCCTGGGTGAGGTCCACAGCCACGTCCTTGAAGGTCACTGTTTTCTGTAAAAACATAATCTCAATTAACCCGAAGTCATCAAAATTAGGGCCTGTGATCAAAATAAGAATTCATTTAGCAAGTAACTAGGGTTTGTCAAAGCTTGTTAACAACTGTTTTGGAAGTCTTCATAGTTACCAAGTTACGCAGTATAAAGGGGGTAATCTATTAGAGTGAAAATACCCTAGAAGAGTGTGTGAATCACTGAGTCAGCAGGCATTCATTCATCCCCGATCGTCAGTGGGCACTGACTTCCTACTGTGTCAGGGCTCAAACAGCCACACGTGACTCAGGAGTACGCAGCTCGGACCTGACAGGTAGTAGGTATTCCGTTTAGTGAGGAAGGGAACAGGGCAGGGCAAAGGGCAAGGGAAAGAGGCAGGCAGGAAGGAAAGGCATGAATATTTGAAAAGGCAAAGCTTAGAAATCCTATTGGACTTCCAGTGTGCAGTCAGACATAAGATGGAAGAAGAAGAGAATGTGTGAGTCAGTAACCTAAAACTGGAATAAATCCATGGCCGGCGAGTGGGAATGGTTAAAGAGAACACACAATATAGTGCTAACAGGACTAAAGAGGACTAAGTGAAACATCAGAGAAACAGACTCAAGCCTTTTATTAGAATTAATACTATGATACTAACATAATGGAAATAAAAAACATATTAAGTATTTCTGGAAAAGAATGTGACTTTATGACTAGTTCTTGTTTTTAAACTGTTTAAAATGTCTAATATCCAAGGAAAAAGGAAAAAGAGTTTATCTGAGATGTTTGTAAGAAAGAAAAGCATCCATACAGCCGATCTTTGGGAAGAATTTATTCAACAGTAGAAATGTGGTGAGATAAAATGACAATTACAAATGGACTGAGCTGCAACAAATGCTTCTAGGAATTGATCTCTCCGCTACTAAGATCAATCCTGTCATCAACACTCCACTGCAGTACTCTCATCTGCGAGTACTGAAGAGGTGTGAGGCAACAGTCACTTCTCTTGGCATATTAACTTTATTGAGCTTTGAGACACTTTGGCTGTGTCGGTCTGAGTGGCCTGGAACTCACAGAGATCCACCTGCCTCTGCCTCCTGAGAGCTGGGATTAAAGGCGTGCAATACCACACCCAGCTACATATTAACTTTTAAAAATTTCCTAAAAAGGCTATGGGAAGGTATTAACACTATCTATTTAAAAGGTAAGAGTACTGTAGCTAAAAGTAATGCACCCCATCACAAGGCTATCATAGGGTAGAGCCACGATTCTAGCTCAAGCAATGTGGCTGCAGAGCCATAGGTTTTTACCCATCATGCTGTGCTTTCTCTCCAAATCAGCAGGAAGAGTCTCCGAATGCCACAAATAACAATTTAAGATGTCAATTGGACACACAAGGACTCCTGGACCTGAAACCCTTCCTACAGACGGGGATTCATGGAAAACAGGTGAACTCATCCATGACAAGAATTCACAGGAAAAAGACACCAAACAGTCCAAAGCCGAGCATTGCAGCACACAGTCCAAAGTTGACAGAGAAGACTGATAAACAGCAGGACAAAGGGTAATGATAAAACCACCTCTGATGCAACAGTTTGTGTGATCGTTGCAGCACAAATGCAAACACGAAACATTCTTCTTGTTGCTGCCCAAAATCAGACCAACCAAACTCATCAAATATTCACAAGAAGTAATTAAGGCTTTGACCTATCTCTGTAATTACACATGAAGTCAAGATAAACACCAGCCTGGACAACGTAGGGAACTGGTCTCAAAAGGAAAGGGGGGGGGATTTTAGATGAGGAGGGAATTATTAAAAAAACAAAACCCTTCAGCTAGGGCTGGAGAGGTGGCTCAGCAGTTAAGAGTGCTGGCTGCTCCTCAATTCCCAGCAACCACATGGTAACTCAAAACCCTCTGTAACTAGAGATCTGGGATACCACACACAGGTGATGCACAGACATAAAAACAAAAGTAAAATGTTCATGGGGGGAAAAAACCTTTAGTGCAAATAGTTGTTATTTCAGAACGGATATGCAAAAATAAATTAATCTTACACTTTAAAAGGCTATGTGTGTATGTGTGTACATCATATCTGTATGATTATATGCCTTGATTTATAAAAACTTAAAACCTTAATGCTTTCAATAAGTTGAACAAACACTTGTCAAACCTAAGTAAAGAATAAGATACAACTAGTAGTCAAAGAATTTAAAATAGAACATGCAACAGAAGAGCAGAACGGCGAGTCATTTTTGTTGTTTTAGAAAGGGTCTCTTGTAGTCCAGGATGGCCTGAAACCTGCTAGTTGAGAGGTGGAAGGGTCCAAACCCTGCTTTGTATTTTCCTGTCAATTAATCTGCACAATGAAAGTAAATACCGTCCTTTTTTTTTTTTTTAATCTCAGCATGGTTTCTACAACACTGCCAAACAAAAAAAAACAAAAACAACCCACAACAAAAAGACTATAGGTGAAGAAAGATTGTTCAACAAACACCGATACATGACTACTTTTTTGTTGATGCAAACAGGCATTTTTATTAATCTGTAAAGAATTTGTGCAAGTGCAAAGACTTTAAAAAAGGCATCATCTAACCGGGCATGGTAGGCACGCCTTTAGTCCCAGCACTCGAGAGGCAGAGGCAGGAGGATCTCTGTGAGCTTGACACCAGCCTGGCTACACTGAGAAACCCTGTCTCAAAAAACAAAAAATAAACAAACAAAAAAGAGCATTATATGCAAAACATGCTGCCAAATTCCATGGGTCTTGAGAACTGTGTCCTGTGATGAAAATAGCAGCATGAAAATAGTCTGCCTTTTCTTTTCAACCTTTATTTTTAAGTTACAACTCAGGGCTGGGAAGATGACTCAGCCATACAAATCTAATGACCAGAGTTCGAACCCCTAACCCACAGCAGAAGAGGAAAATCAGCTCCCAAAAGCTGTCTTCTGACCTCCACTGGTACACGGTGGCATGTGTGCACTAGTAAATAATGTTAAAGTCCCATCTCAGACTCCACTGTGAAAGCTAGTTAGTTCCATGGCAGCACACTTAATAGCAAAGGAAGTCAAGGCAGTTTGCTCAGGGTGAGTGTGCTGAGCAGCATGGGGCGAACGCTGCTCAGCCCTAGAAAGGCATTTCTAAAGTCAGTCTGTCTCACCAGACCGCACGGGGAGTGAAGACACCGACTGGTACATCCAGACAAGCTTGGACAGCAGAGCTGCGGGTCTCAAGTTGTACGGACGGCAGGCTGATCCGACCCATGTGGCTCTACCAGCCCCCTTACTGGAGACACTGATGAGAACTAAAGAGATGGCTTCTGTTTTTCTAATTTTATTTTAAATGTATTTTACCTTATGTGCATGAATGTTTTGTCTGCACGCACGTATATGCAGCACATGCACGCCTGTTGGATCCCCTGGAGCTGGGATTAACGAAGGTTGTGAGCTACCATGTGGGTGCTAGGAATTGAACCTAGTCCCCTACAAGAGTGGCAAGTGCTCTTAGCTGATTTCTCCAGCTCCTGAGAAACCACTTTCAAGAACGAAACACACTAAGAGTTAAAATTAGAACCAAAGTATCTGATGAACACTTGGAGACCTTCGACTATATCCATCAGATAACCAGACAGTGCCGTGCTAGTTTCTCGGTGTCAGTATCCCAGTAGTTTCGTGTCAGGTGGCCTCTCTTCTTTTACATTGATAATAAAAAGTACACCCCCATCACTGAAGTTTTATTACTTACAGATGTTGGTTTTCTTATTAGTGACTATAAAATGCGGACCTGCTTGATGATTTTAACAGTCTCTGAACAGGGCACAAAACAATTAAGATTATGTGAGGACCACTTTTGCTATTTATGGTGGAGGACATCATGAACATTTGACACTTTAAAAACTATTATGCTTATTTACTTTGTATGTGAGATGCTGTGCACACACCTTGGTGGAGGTCAGAGGACTACTTGAGGGCGTCAGTTCTTCAGTTCCATTATGCGGGTCTCAGGGATAGAGCTAGGAGAGCACTCGATCAACTGAGCTATATCCCCAGCCTCAATAACTATTTCTACCTGCTGTCATTTCATCTGTCCTACACACGGTTTTAACTGATGAATTTTTGCTAGTGTTTGTGTGTTTAATATGTGGCCCAAGACAATTCTTCATCCAATGCAGCCTAGAGAAACCAAGAGGCAATGTTTTTTTGAACATGATATGGAAAAAAAAAAAAAAACCTCTTGCAAATTTAATAAAAGACAAATCAATTTAGGACTGGGGAGGTGGCTGAGCAAGCCTGATAACCCGAGTTTCATTTCTGGAAGTCATATAAGAAGCTGGATGTGGTGGTACACACCTGTAATCCAGCACTGCTATGGTGAGAGGGAGGCAGACATAAGAGAATCTGTGGGAAGCTTGTGGGGCTGTTATCCTGGGGTACACACCACAGCAGCAGAAACAAGAGAGAACTTGCTTCAACATGAGGAAGCCAAGAACCAACTCCTAAAGTTGTCCTGTCCCCTCTGCGTGCTCCCTGTGGCATGCACACATTCATCCACCTACCCCATCCCACCCCCCACAATCCACATAGTAAATTAATTTAGAAAAGACAACCTGGGCCAGCAAGACAGCTCAGTGGATAAGGGCACTTGCAGCCAAGGCTAACAACCCGAGTTAAATCCCCAGGACCCACAAAGTGGAAGGAAAGAACCAACTCCAGCAAGCTGCCTTCTGACTTCTACATGTAGGTCCTGGCACATGCCACTACAAACACCAAAAAACAAATGTAATTTTTGTTGTTGTTGTTTTTGAGACAGGTCTCACTATGAAGATCAAGCTGGGCTTGAACTCACAGAGATCTGCCTGCCTTTCTGCCTTCTGGGTACTGGGATTAAAGGTGTGCATCCCCATGCCCAGAAAATAAGTGCAATTAAAAAAAAGAGAGAAATCAAGGCTGGGCACAGAGGCACCTACTTGCCTTTAATCTCAGCACTTATGAGGCCGAGGCAGGTGGATCTGTGAGTTGGAG